GCCAGTGAGATGTAGGAAACAGAGCCTAGAGCCTGCTCGTGTCTGTTGCAGGCACATGGGGGTGGGGGTGGGTGTCCTCTGTGTGCACGTGTGTGTACATGGATGTGCAGGTGTTGTGCGTGTGTGTGTGCATGCCTGTGTGCGTGTGCGTGTGACTTGCTGTGTGTAAGTGTGTGTGTGACTTGTTCTGTGTGTATTTGTGTGTGTGTGCATGTGCACATGACTTGCTCTGTGTGTGTGCGTGTGCACACGTGTGCGTGTCCTCTATTCAGTTCTGTCTTCCTGACAGCAGTCTGCGCACACAGGTGTAGGGCCGGCTCCCCTCCCCTGACCCTGCAAACTCAACCCTCCGCCCGGGATCGGGGGGTAACCCCGCAGCCTGGCGAGCTCAGCATCAGGGAGCTGACCCCGAAGTGGGCCAGGTAGTGGCTGCAGCCTTCCACAGGCCACCCTCAACTGGCCCTGACCTGAGTGGGAATCCACTTCCCGCACCTCCACTCCCGTGCTGAAGGCCGAGGCAGGTACTGGAGGCAGCCACCGGCCCCTGGAAACAGGTGCAGGCCTCATCCCTCAGGTTCCACCCCTCGAGCCCCCCTTCAAACTGAGGCCTGACACGTAAGCATGAGCCTCTGGGTGTCAGCCCGCCTCCAGGCGGCCACATGCAGCATGTGGCTGGCGGGACCTCTGACCCCGTGATCCGGCCGCCTGTGTCAGGCTCTGGGGCCGCCTGCCCAGCCGAGTCCCTTCCTGGGACGTGGCAGGACCAAGGCTGCTCTGAGAGTCTTCCCAGCAGAGGCCGCGGGGGCCCGGGAGGCCGGTGGCCTGGGAGGGCTGGCATACCACGTCATTCTGTGTGGGAAGAGGTCCCGCCAGAGCCGCGGGGACCCCCCCCAGCACAGCGCTGGCCTGCCAGGCAGAGACTGCCTCTTTTTCAGATGATTTTGCAAACGAGAAAATGAAACAAAAACTGCTTATTATAAAGAAATACCACTGGCTCCCTTTGGGGCTTTTTGTGTCTGTTTCAGTGTCCCCTGCTGGACACTAGCTTCCTGGGTCAGGATGGGGCCTCCCAGAGCGCTGCGTGGCCAGCGCAGCCCACACGAGCGAGGCCCTCTGCGGATGTGCGCTGCGGTGCTTCCCGAAGGCTGGACCCCTGAAGGTGACCTTTGAGACAAGATCCGCGCCTCCTTCCGGCGAGGTCTTGGCGGCCAAGGCAAAGCCTCTGCTGCCATCTGGTGGTGAGTCTCGGAATCGCAGGTGGTCATCTGGGAACTGGACACCCCTGGGAGAATCTAGCTCACCACCCTCGTGAACCGGTAAGGATGGGAATCTGATACTCAGAGGGCTTGATAAATCTGCCCGTGTTCACGCAGCGAGCCGCCTGCAGAGCAACCAGCCTGGCTTCCTCAGCGCCTCCTGACTTACTGGTTAGGGGTGAGGCTGTATGATACCCATCAGGTAGGGGTTCCGAGTCCCGCCTTTGAGGTCAGGCAGAGGGGGTTGGTCCTGGCCAGGCCCTCACCGATGGGGAGCACCGGGCAAGGGACTCAGCCTCCAAGCCTGGGTTTCCTCCCTAACAGTGGAGCCTGTTACAGGCGGCTGGGCGGCTTGAGGGCTGCCAGCTGCCAGGGCGGTTGGCACAGTGCCTGGCACACAGTAGGTGCTCATTGAATGCCCTTGCTGCTGCCGCTGCCGCTGAGGAGGACCCAGAGATCAATGCGACCTGAGCCCTGGGATGGGAGAGGCGGCCTCCAGCGAGACTGCTCTCCCCGCACTCGCCCCACCCACGGAGGCGACCACTCTGGCATGTCCCGGACTAGCCTGGTCGTAGGTGTCTCTTGGAGAATTATGGGACACACAGACTCCTGGACTCCAGCCCCACACGGTCTGATTTGCTGGGTCTGGGACAGGGCCCAGGAATCTGTATTCGTGCAGCACTCTGGGTGGGTCCCAAAGGCCGACAGGTTTGGGGGCTGCTGACCCATCCCACCTTCATGGTTCTGGTAGAGGGGACAGACACGTGTCCTAGAGCGGGCAAGGCCAGGCTCTGGTGGCCCAAGACTGGGCAGTGTCCCCCCCAGGAGAGATGTGACCAGAGGTAGACCCTTGTCACCTAACCTGGGTGAGGAAGGGCCGGCAGGCAGAGGCACAGCAGCAGGCGGTGGGGGCCTGGCACCTGCACAGGTGATGAGCTCCAGGCCCTGCATCAGTAGACGGACACGAGCTTGGGAGGAGCTTGAAGGGAGGGGGAGCAGACGGTCCTCTGGGTTCAGAAGTTCCTCCTGCAACAGCCCGAGGGACTGATACCAGTGGGAGCACCACAGTCAGGGATCTGGTGGCCGTCAGATCCCAGAGCGCGGCCGGGCAGCCGCAGCCCAAGCTGTGCTCCCTGCTTTGCATCAGTGTGGCCTCAGGTCCGGCAAGCGTCAGGCAGACTCGCCCTCAGCTCTGCAGAAGACGGTGGTCAGCTGGGTGCCTGCGCAGAGTCCGTGTAACTTGGCTGACAGCAACCATGGTGGGTGGGCCGTGCGGGGAGACTGTTCCAGAACAGACCCTAAGACGAGGAGGCTCGGACGCCAGCTGACATGGCAGCACCAGACGGGCGAAGGCCACTGGGATGCAGGCTGGGCCTCCTGGGCCCAGGAGGGGCCGACCCTGGCCCTCTGTCAATGGCCTCAGGAGCTGGTCGTGCCCCAGAGTCTCGGGCGTCTCCGAAGGTGCAGAGCAGCCGTGGGCCAGCCCTTGGGCCCCTTAGCTTGAGAAACGCCCAGGCAGGGAGGAGAGCAGAGAAGGGGCGTGTACCGCCCGGGGGCCCTGGGAGGACAGCGGGACGAGGCTTTGCTTCAGGAGTCCAGGCAAGGTGGGGTCTCCCAGCGAGCTGCCATCAGGGAGTCCTCTCAGCTCCCTGCCTGGGCTGGGCCCCAGGGCTCTCTGCAAATCCCCAAGGAGCTCCATCCCGGATTCCCTGAGCCGGCTGCGTGACCTCACACCCCTCCCCAGAGGGCCAAAGTCTGCGTATTCAGGTCTGCATTAGTCAGCTCGAGCCGCCGCGAGGAATGCCGTAGACGGGGAGGCTTAAACAACGGAAGCTCATTTTCTCACGGTCCTGGAGGCTGGAAATCTGAGATCAAGGTGCCACAGGCGTGGCTCCTCTGAGGTCGCCCTCCTGGGCATGCAGACGGCTGTCCCCTCCCTGTGACCCCCTTGGTCATCCCTCTGTGTGTGTCTGGGTCCTAACCTCCCCTCCTTGTACGGCCACCAGCCCTATGGGGTTAGGAGCCATGCTCATGACCTCATTTTAACTTATTCACCCCTTTGGAGACCCTCATCTTCAAAATAGTCACATTCCAGGGCTTCCCTGGTGGCGCAGTGGCTGAGAGTCCGCCTGCCGATGCAGGGGACACAGGTTCGTGCCCCGGTCCGGGAAGATCCCACATGCCGCGGAGCGGCTGGGCCCGTGAGCCATGGCCGCTGAGCCTGCGCGTCCGGAGCCTGTGCTCCGCAACGGGAGAGGACACAGCAGTGAGAGGCCCGCGTACCGCAAAAAAAAAAAAAAAAAAAGTCACACTCTGAAATGCTGGGGGTGAGGACTTACATATGGATTTGGGGATCACAGCTCAGGCCGTTACCAGGCCTGGGCAAGAACCACAGGGAACTCAAGACCAGCAGCATCTAATGACAGGTCAGTTCTGGCTGCGGCCAGACCGACAGGACCCCTCAGCCCCCCAGACCCGGTGCAGTGATAGGCCAGGCTGTACAAAATGGAAGGCGGCCTCTGGGGTACCCGGGAGGAACAGGGACCTCAGAGACTCTGATTTTCCAAAGTACCTGCCCAGCCCCCTAGTGCAGTGGCTGTTTACGCTGCCTACCCAGGGCATGCCCTTCTCCACGGGTGTGGATGCAAAGGCAGGGCGGCGGCAAGGGGGCTTCCTGTTGGAAGGAGCCTGGGGGGGGGGGTGGAAAGGAGTCTGGAGAAGCTCCCACGGGGTGAGGCCCCTTCCCTAGATGGGGCCAAACCCAGAGTGACCCCAAGCTACAACAGCGCAAGTGTGTGTGTGTGTGTGTGTGTGTGTGTGTGTGTGTGTGTGTGTTAAGCAGGGCTCACTTTTGGAAATTCTCCCATGTGCCCTCCCTGCTTGCTGTCCAGTTTCTCCCAGGAGGAGAAGCCTGGGCACCACCACAAGGAACATCCCGCTGGGCCCCATCAGGGCGCCCAGGGCCCCTGGCCTCCACTGCCCGGGAGAGGGCCCTCCACATGGCCTGGCAACACCAGCAGTGCCCGTCCAGCCGGGACATCCGCTCGCTTCCCACTCCCGGAGGCCACATCCGGCCGCCCACTGCCCTCTACATGGTCACCGCGCAGCTGGCAGCCCCTGGCTGATCGCCCGCCCCCTGCTGGCTCCCCCGGGAGGCTGCTTGTCTCCTTCCATAGCGGGGGAGTCTGGGCACACAGCACGAAGGCCGCCCCTCTGTGTGGGGAACACTCAGACCTGGTTGCCAGAAACCCCCGAGGGCCCCGTGCCTGTTTCAGGAAGGGGGAGCCAGAGTGAGGGGGGACCCCAGGGTGTGGTACCTAACAGAGATGGACACTTCTGATTTCTGGGGAGCAAAACCCCAAGGGAGCTGGGACAGAAGTCCCCAGGGGGAGGCCAGCGGTCAGGAAATCCCCACCTGGCACCCCAGTTTCCACACAGGGTTAGAGAAGCGAGCCCAGATCCTCTCCCTCCCAAGTCCCCCGCCCCTCCCCCCTCCCTCCATCCCTCGGGGCTCTTGGAGGAGTCCCTCCTTCCTGCACCGGGTCTGGGAGCCAGGAGTCGACCCGGTCACTTAGAGGCAGCCGGGGCTGAACAGGGACAGGCGGCCCAGTCTCCCCCGCCCCTTCGTCCCTCGCATCCCCATTACAGGTCCCCTCGCGCCTTCTCCATTGCTCTCCAACCCACCCCCCGCCCCCGCCACGAAAATAGTACGGCCAGCACACAGCAAGTTGCTTGTGTCACCTGCTCTTTATTGACTGCCACGGGCTGCCTTCTCATGGGTGACCAGATGCCCCAAGAGCGGCACTACATAGAGAAGGGTTGGAGGGGAGGGGGTCTGAGAGGTGCAGCCTGCAGAGAGCCTGGGTGCACGGGAGCCCCGCCAGACGGATCTCACGGCACCTGGCTCGGCCCCGGTGAGGGCGCCTGCCACCAAGGGCTGAGACGCACCTGGCTGGCCCTGGAGACCAGAGGCCACCCAGAGATTGCTCAGCGAGGGGTGTTCTCTGACCTCCCGGCCAGCCTGGACGGCCCGCAAGCCCGGGAGGATGGGGATGCCGTCTGAGAAGCTGGGATGGCGGTCACTTCCACCGACTGGCTGGTGTTGGAATCCGGGTCACTCTGAGGTCTGAGCACCTCAGGCCAAGGCCCCGAGCTCTCCAGGCTACTCTCTCAAACCCTCATGCCCTCGGAGAAAAGGAAAAGGAAATGGAAAAGGGGGAGGCAGGGGAGACAGACGCCCCACTTTCTAGGGTTCCCCCGGAGGGATGGGTGGCGGGGGCCGCAGCGGGTGGCAGCCGAGGCCGAGGCCGAGCTTAGGAGGAGGGCGCGGAGCTGGGCTTCTCCTCCCGCGACACGGGGATGGCCCGCTCGCTGTGGCCGGCATCCATGCCAGACGTGACCTTGGGGCCGGAGAAGGTCAGCATGCCGTCCGCAGACAGCGAGCAGGAGAGTGCGGACTGGTCCACGTTGGAAGGCAGGCGGTAGCGGCGGTGGAACTCGCGGGAGATGTAGCCGTGGTCATCCTGGGGGGCCGGGGGAGGGCGCGGTCAGAGACGCCGCCACAGCGGGTGGCGGCCGCCTCTCACAGAGGAGGGCATCCTGGACCGCACAAGGGTCAGACCCACGATACCCCCACAGGGCGTGGGCTGCACCGTGTCCAGGGCTCTGGGACCGCGCTGCATCCCTGCATACAGTCTGGGCTTGCCTGGGGCCCCTGGCTCTTCACGATAATGTCACCCCAACGTCGTGTGAGTGGTCCTGCCCCTGGCCCGGCCCTTGGGTCCAGCTATCCCTGCACCTCTGGCCTCACAGACTGCTTGGGCTCAGGTCCCTGCCATCCATCTAGCTGGGTCAGAAAGCCATGCCTCGACGTTCCCTTCTCCTGACACCCTGGACCCAGCTTAGCCCCTGGCCCGACTCCCTCCCCTCCAGGTGGAAAGACCCAGAGCCTCGGCGTAGTGTCCAGGCATCTCCAGGGGCCCAGGAGGGGAGAGCAGCCGATGCAGTGGGGTCTCTCCCCCGCCTCCAGCTTCCCCACTACTGGACAAAGCCCTGATCTCTGAGCTGTCCTGGCTGGGCCCCTGCCCCCTCAAGATAACGGGCTCCGGGCACTCGGGCTCCGACACGAGTCAGCTGTACCGTCCTCCCGGGAGAAGCTGGTGTGAAAACCTACGTGGCTTGGAGCTCGCTCCCTTGGTGCTGGTGTCTCCTGGGGTCTTTCCTAATCCCACCCCATCACCCAGGGGATTTGGACAGAGCCCGGGATGCCGAGTAGCTCCTGAGTGGGGTTCCCCACAGGCCCCGCCGGCCGTTCACCTGCTGCCCAGGCCTGCTGCGGGCCCGGGGCGGCCTCCTGTCACCAGGACGGGGCCTCGCTCGGGGGTGCAGCCCCTCCCTGCGGGCCCAGGCTCACCTGCCGCTCGTTGTGCTTGCCGTGGATTTCCACGAAGTCCTCCTGCACCTTCACCGTCAGGTCCTCGGGAGAGAAGTGCTTCACGTCCAGGAAGATGACAAACTTGTCCCGGTCGGATCGCACCTGAAACCAAGTGTCCGTGTGGGTCTCCACGGGGCTGCGGCTCAGGGAGGGGGGTGGCCGGGGCTCAGTCCCCAGTCATCAGAACAGAACCTGCAGTCAAGGCTCTAAGCTCTCCGTCCACGTGCCCGCGGGGCAGAGGGACCTGGGACTCAGGTCTCTGTGGCCACTGGGCTGATAGCCGGAGCCCCGGGGCTCTGCGGCCGCCTGGTGGGTGAGGGGCTGCCTGGGTGATGGGTGTGGGCTGCGCGGCCTGTTACACATTGGTTGGTTGGCTGCTTACGTGTTGTTTGGCTGGTCGGTGGGACTGAGCACTTGGAATAAGGTCGCGGCCCTGGGGCTCTGCCCGCCTCTCTGTGAACAGCCTGGGGCTTTGTCTCTGCACACGGACGTGCATGTGACATGCCGGCAGCCTACGCAGGCTGCCCAGCTCCTCGCACAGAAACTGCTTTCGGCCGCCTCCCCTCCCACTCCCCTCGCTGGGGACGCTCCCTTGGGCTCCGTCGGCCCCAGAATGGTCGGCGTTTCACCAGCTCCGAGCAGGCCTCTGTGTTTTAGGCAGTGGTGACCCCTGGCACCTCCAGAGCACTGGACCCTGGGAGGGAAGGCCGGTGGGCTGCCTTGCCTGCCCTCGGGGCCTGGCCTTGGGCGCCCGGGCGAACTCGGGAAGAGCCCACACTCCGCAGCTCCATGGCCGCAGAGGGCTTCAGACAGGAGGCCTCCTGCCAGACCTCGCTGCTGGAGGGGAAGTGCAGCCCCAGGCCACACAGAGCTCCGTCCACCAGCGCCCGTGCCCTGGGCTGTTCCGGGGGCTCCCGGCACATGGAGGGACGGCACCAACCACATACGGGCCGTGCGCTGATGACAGGCAGCAGGCGGGCTCTTCCTCCCAGCACCCCGGGGGCACGCGAGGCTCTGCTGCGGGGTGGTCTGCCTGGCCTCTGTGCGTCCAGGACGGACGAGGTGGGCTGAGGCGGGAAAGTGGCCCCGCGGCGGTCACCAGCCGCTCCATGAAGCAGGGCGCGGGCACGCAGCGCAGGGGTGCCGCGTCTGCCCCAGGGCCGGCCCTCACAAGCCCCCGCTTCTCGCCCGGCCACGGCCCGGCCCCCGTGCAGCCGCAGGAGGAAGCAGCGCGCAGCGGGTCTTACCTCGGAGATGCCGGAGTCCAGCACGCTGCGAAAGAGGGACTGGCGGTAGTAGGGGCTGATGGTGGAGGACAGGAAGGGCAGCAGGTCGTACTCGAAGAGCCCCTCGCCGAAGAACTGGTCGAAGAGCCGGCTAGGGTAGAAGGGGCCCAGGGCACGTTTGAACCAGGGGTGCTGGATGGCGACGTCCATGGTGGGCGCGGACTCTGCAGGGACCCGGGGCCGGCGGGGAGTCAGGGCAGGGGCCTCTGGGCAGCGCACTGAGGACCCGGGGCGCACGCCCTCCTTATATACGGCGGGACAGAATGGAGGCATCAGGGGGATTTGTCTGGAAGGCGTGAGCTCAGGAGGGAGGCCGCCCAGTCAGCAGAAACGTGGGCTGGGCTGAGCGTGCACGTCTCCCAGCCCCGGGCTGCAGCGCTGACAGCCCAGAGCTCTGGGCGCCAGGGGAACGGCGTCCCCAGGGGGCTTCTCTGTGCGTGGCTCTGTGCCCCCCAACGCTCAGCAGGTGCTCAGCAAAGGCTCGCGTCTCCCCTTTCCTGGGCGGGGGTGCTGTGTGCCAGGTAGCATGCCCGTGTCTGCATATGTGGGGCCCTGTGACCTCACGGCCACCTTACGAGAGGGAGCTCGTACCCCTGGTTCACAGACGAGGAGAGTGAGGCACAGAGGCTAGACAAGTGGTCCCCGAGTCCCACCGCCACGAGGCGAGGCTGCACTGTGTTTCAGAACAGAATTACCTCCATGACTTCTTCCTGATTACAAACATTATACATACTTGTAAAAACTCTCAACAAAGACAGAAAATGAAGAGAAGACACTAGAAAGCGCCCGTAATTCCAGCACCGGGGGGCCCTGCTGTGGCGTCTGTGTGCATCCTGAGGGGGGGCAGGTTTGGTTTCACAAACATGGAAACCCTGCATCCCGGGGTCTCCTCTGGACATCATCCCTGAGAAGCTCGAGGCCTGGGAACAGACAGAGCCAGGGTCCTTAGAGCAGGTGCCCTGTCCCTGTTACTGGCCTGGTGACTGGTTTGCTCCCGTCTCTGTGGCCCATTCCAGCTATGGCCCAGGATGCGTTCCGGGGGGACCGGCCACAGCTGGGGCACTCCTGGCTTTAAGGCTTTCATACTTTTCAATGGCTTGGCCTCCGGGAACCTTGCTCTAACTCACCAGCCCCTCCACACCCGCAGCACAGGAGGGTGCCGGACCCACGCCCTACCCGAGCCAGCTTTTTCATGCACAGTCCAGACGGTGAGATGCTTCTAATTCACCCTGCGTCTCCCCAGGTCCTCGTGCAGCTTCTGACCAGCGTCCACCTCCTGTTTGTGGGGTCAGTGCATCTTCAAAGCACTCAGGATCTTTGCAAATTTACCTCCAAGCCCTGGGCTTAGTGGGCCGGGAAAGAGTACTCACCCTGTACCTAAGTGGGATTTTGTCTCACACACCTAAGAAGCAACTGGTGTCAAAAGTGGGAATTTTGGCGCCTCCCTCACACAGCCCCTCCCTAACTAGCAGTGCACAGTATCAAAGCCCACCTCCCTGCCTTTCTGAGCACCTATGATGTGCATCCAGCCAGTGGTAAAGGGCCCAGAAAAAACTGGAAATGCCAACCTTTGCCCTGCAAGTCTACGATTTCGGCAGGTAATTCCCTAGGGTGTCAGGCAACAAGGGCCAAACCAGGGGGCAGATAATCAATACTCTGAGGGGTGGAGGGCACTCTCCCTGCCCCAGGCCTGCCTGAGCCCACACTGATGGTGACCTCATGGTTCCTTGCAGCCACCCTAAATGGCATGTAGGTGCCAAACCTCCCCCACTTCATAGAGAGGGAAAGTGGGGTATAGAAAGGTTAAACAGGTCACTTAGCATGGAGGAAGGGGAGGGGGCTCTAGCGCAGGCTGCCCACCCAGGCTGGGAGTCAACCGGGGAATGGGCAGGGCTGTGGGCGACCCCACACAGCATGGGCTGCCTGCTCCTGGGCGTGGGACAGGGGGAGGAAGGGGCACAGGCATCCAGCTGGCTGCTGAGGAGAGGGTCCAGCTGGGCCAGGCACATGGTCCGTGCGGGCCAGGGCCACACTGAAGCTGCAGACAGAAGGCAGAGGCAGCAGTAAGGGTCCTGTCTTTATGTACAATTTGATATTTTGTTCATCATGGACTTTTTGCACCCATTTTGATCTGTTTAAACATCACATTAAGATGTGATGTACCCTGATGACTGCGTTTGGTCCCTCTGACACTTGGTACGTTCTCACCTGCACCTGGCTGTCCATGTGGTCCTTCAGACACGCTGGGTCTGCAGGCAGGGGCGGGGTACAACCTCGGCCCATGGGGTGCACGGCCCAGGGTAGCTGAGGGTCCGCCAAGGTCCTTCAGACACGTAGGGATGCCCAGGCACTCACCCATGCCCCCGACCCGTGGGCTTCAGCCAGCGGGAGCCCAGAGCTGGCCTTCAGAGTAAGCCAGCACCAAGGTGGCAAACCCAACCACGCAGGCCCCGGACAGGGGGCCCAGGACGGCCGCAGAGCCCTCGGGGGCCTTTCCAACCCAAGACGACGGTGCTGTACCAGTTTCCTGCAGCTGCTGTAACAAAAGACCACAAACTTGGCGGCTGAAAACAACACAAATGTATTACCTTGTAGTTTGGAGGCCAGAAGTCCCAATGGGTCTCACTGGGCTCAGATCAAGGTGTCGGCAGGGCTGGTCCCTCCTGCAGGCTCCAGGGGAGACTCCATTTCTTGCTTTTTCCAGCTTCCAGAGGCTGCCCATCCCTTGACCCATGTTCCTTTCCTCTGTCTTCCAAGGCAGCCGTCACATCACATCCCTCTGGCTGCCCCCCTCTGCCTCCCTCCAGTAAGGACCCTATGATTACTGAGCCCACCCGGGGAATCCAGGATCACTCCCCCAGCCTTACAGTGTGCTCTTTAAGGAACCTTATTTCCCCCCTTGCCATGTAAGGTGACACATTCACTGGTTCTGGAATCAGGGTGGGGAGGCCATTAACCACGCGCTGCAGGGAGGGAAGCACTGTGATGACAGGCGCCCTCCCTCGGGGCAGCTGGAGGGACCCTCCACTCAGGAAATGCCCACCACTAACGGCCAATACGACTCACGTCACTCAGAGCCACCCCCTCGTTCGGGTCAACTTACATCTCCGTCAGGTGTCTGAGCCCTTCCATCTTCCTCTCCGGTTTGCTGACCTCGCCTATCGGCCAAACCTGTGGCTCACAGGCGCCATGGCAGGCGGTCCAGAGCTCTGCAAAGTGGCCACAGGGATGAGAGGTGATACGGGATGGAGTGATGGGCGACCGGCTGTTTCCAGCTCACCTGTGTGAACTCACCCTGCCTCACACCTGACCCCACACAGCCCAGACCCTCCCACCCTGGATTCTTGGAAAACAAGACCCTTTTCCTCCGGGCCTGGGTTCCTCCTTGAATTCACGGCCACGTTCTAAGGGGTGCGCTGTCTGCATCTGCAGAGATTTAAAACAATAACAACCACCCAAAAGTCCGTTCTAATCATGCAGGTGGAAAATACGCCTCCTCTTCTGTTAGTCTGAGGTCTGAGCAATCTATACATGATAATACGGTCCATTTTCCTTATTGGAGGGAGTGACGTCCTATAAAGTCGCCGTGAACAGTGAACTGGTAACTACGGAGCCATTTCTCCCAGGGGAACACAGGCTCAGGTCCTACCAGCCTCTGGTCACAACATTTTCATCAGTCACTACGTGGGCAACAGAATCTTCATCGATCGCTACGTGGGCAACATCTTCACCGATCAATACGTGAGCTTCTTTGGTGTGTGTTTCTGTACAAACACAGCTAATTTCACACGAGTGGTTGATTCATTGACACTGAACACACGCCAGCAGCCCCATAACTCACTCCTGCAGCGAAGCTCACCTGACACATGTTTTCTCCGGGGAGGCACGTCCCAGCCCTCCTGCACTTGGGACGCTAGACAGCCCTTCCCACTGTGCTTGGGACCATGCAAACAGTGAAGCCACAAAAAGCAGAAAAATTGGGAAACGGGATACTAAACAGACCCTGGAAAGGACGCTGGCTGCAGCACGAGCTGGAACAAGCAGGCGGAGCCGCCCTGTCGCCCTCGGCTGGGGACGTGCACGCCCGGCCACTCAGATACTTCACCTCTGCCGCTCTGCTCGGTGAATGACTGTGAAAACGGCCGTGAGCATGGATTTGAGGTCAGATTTCACAGAGCAGATATTATGGACTGAATTGTGTCCCCCCCAAATTCTTATGTTGATGTCCCAACCCCCAGTACTCAGAATGTGAACTTACTCGCAGAGGGGTCTTTTAAAGAGGTGATCAAGCTAAAATCAGGCCGCTAGGGTGGGTCCTAGTCGAATCTGATGGTGTCCTTATGAAAAAAGGACATGAGGACACAGACACACACAGGGGAAGACCTTATACAGGAGGGGGCTGGTGTCCTTATAAGGGGAAGAGACACCAGGGGTCCCCAAACACATGAAACACCGTGTGAGGACACAGGAGAAGACGGCGTCTACACGCCAACAGGGAGAGGCCTCAGGGGTTCCAGCCCTGCCCACACCGAGATCATGGCTTCCAGAGTCCAGACTGAGAAATAATTTCTGTTGTTTAAGCCACTCGTGCATGGTTCTGTGGTGTGGCGGCCTGGGCACCTAACGCGGGAGACATCCTCAAACGCGGGATCCGCAAATACAAGGAGAGCCTGCATGTGTGTAATGTTCACATAAGCAGAGTGTTCTTTCTTCTCCTTCTCTAAACACGCGCTAAGTGGAGATCCCCCGGAGAACTCACGCGACACAGCCAGCTCGAGGTTGGCCAGCCCTGCTCCGTGCCTTTGCTCTGGAGCCCATTTCCAAGGTCGGGAACTGCTCAGGCTCCCGGGGCGCTTCTCACCTCCAGCCTCTGACTTCTGTGCTTAAACACGGGGCTTCAGGTTGGCAAACGACAGCCCACGTGAAGACGCAGCCCCGGAGTTATCCCAGTTCTGTCACGCTGTGTGACTTCTCGCACTTTTATTGCGTGTTTAAAATATGAAACTGTGGGCTTCCCTGGTGGCGCAGTGGTTGGGAGTCCGCCTGCCGATGCAGGGGGCGCGGGTTCGTGCCCCGGTCCGGGAAGATCCCACATGCCGCGGAGCGGCTGGGCCCGTGAGCCATGGCCGCTGAGCCGGCGCGTCCGGAGCCTGTGCTCCGCAACGGGAGAGGCCACAACAGTGAGAGTCCCGCGTACCATACACACACACACACACACACACACACACACACACACACACACACACACACATATATAAAACTGAAACAGAGCACAGGCTGTGAGGTGTGATGTTTCAGTGCAAACGAT